CCCCCCCCTGCCAGGTCCTGCTTTGTCTCCAAGCCTGGGCATAGCTGCGCCCCCCACCCTCCACTGACGCAGCTCGCGGTGCACCCAGGGTCCCAGCCTCCTCACGACCAGGCACACCTTTCCAGCTCCTGCCACACCCAAGACCCCCCGTCCCCCCCTCCTAGTCCCACAGTCGGACATGGACTGGAGCTAGCCCTGGGGTGAGTCAGGGCAGGGGCTGCGGCTCTGAACCTGCTCAACCCCCAATCTTCCCTGGTAGAGAGAGAACCAGGCACTGCTCCCACTTTACTGCTGTGACTCGGGAAGGGGTTCAGGTCAACAGGCAGATTCGGAAAGAGGATGAACAAGTTCCTGGTGTTCCTAATGGCCTGGGGACTCAGACGCTAGGGCTGGCACAGAATGCCCACCAGCCTAGCCCAGGTGGGCTGCTCCCCAGCCAGACACTGCCGTATCTTCAGAGAAGGGCTGTTCCAGGTAGCACTGGGTAACTACATCTGGGTAACAGTGACCTCGTCCAACCCCATTAGTTTAGAACAGAGGGTCCTTAGTCCAGAGGAAGTGACCTTCCAGGATCACACAGCCATGCAGTGGCAGAGTGTAGGCGTGAATCACACGCGGTCTCCAGGCTCCCGCTACGGTCTTGTTCAATAGTACCACAGTTCTGGGAGAATCCTCCGCTGGTAACCCACATTTGGCACAAACTACATAGACAGTTGGACAAACTGAGCTTTTTCTCTAGCCTTTTTAAGCTTAAAAAAAAAAAATCACTGAAGAAGCATTTTGGAGTATCCAAGGCAAATGTTCCAGTCTTGAAGGGAGCTCTCACGCCAGACGTCATGGCGAGCCCGAGAAGCGGCTTGAACTACATAGAATATGCGCACTCACACACCCTCCCCCACAGCTCTATCACAGGCACTTTTCTCTTTCAGCGTGAACCTGGACATCATGCCAGGCCAGCTGGTGGCTGTGGTGGGCACCGTGGGCTCTGGGAAATCCTCCTTGATGTCAGCCATGCTGGGAGAAATGGAAAATGTGCATGGGCACATCACCATCAAGGTGAGTGGGAAGCCGGTGGAGAAGACAGGACCCTCAGTCAGCCGCTGGATCAGCCCCAGGGCCTAGTGGCCAAGGGAGGCAATCCCACATGGCCAACCACGGTGGCCCCGGTGGCGTGGAAAACACGCCAACAGGTGGGCATGCATGTCTAACATTCCAACCGAATGGAGAAAGGATTGTGGCATGACACCACCCCATTGGGGGGTGCTTTCTCTCTTTCTCTCACTCTCTCTCTTCCTGTCTCTGTCTCTCTAGTGAGTGCACACACCCTTTGGCAATTAAAACAACAACACAACTGTGTAGGGCCCCTCGGTGCTGGTTCCTCATTTGGGAGAATGCACAGAAGACTCATGGGTGAGACTCCGAAGACATCAGGTAGATTTGTGAATAGTGAGTCATCTGCCCATCCCAGACTTCTATCAAGGCTCTGGAGAAGGGACTAAGAGTGCATTTTAAAAAAAAAGAAAAAAAAAGGGAACCAGCAGTTAGCGTAATGGCTATGTCGCTGGACTCCCATGTAGTCGACCGCGGTTCGCCACTTGGACCCAGTGGCTTAAAACACACACGGACTCCCCAAGCGGGGTGGTCACAACACAATCCCTTCTCCAGTTCTGCCTCCTCTTGGGATTTTGGGTATACATGGACACATGCCAAGTGTGTTTTTTGGGTCTAGGACTCAAACTACACAGCCGGCCATATGGGATCTAGTTGCCTTAATCACCATGCCACTGTTTGGCCTTGGTTTGTTTTCTTTTTAAAATAATTAATAAAGCATACTGTAACTAATAAGTGAATAAAGCATTGATAAAATTGAAATCAGTGTGATTTTGCAAGCTGCCAGATCCAGGACTCAAATTGTAGCCAGTCACATGAGAGTCTAGTGCCTTAACCATCACGCCACCTACTAGCCCCAGAGTCTGCATATTTTTTTTTCTTTTTCTTTTTCTTCTTCCGCAGAGGCTTTTGCTATAGGGCATGTGCGCTCGCCAGACAGACAGAGAGAGACAGAGAGACAGAAAGCGAGAAGTCACCCCCCAGGGGGGATGGCCACGCCGCAATCCCTTCTCCTCCATTCTCCTCTTGGGATCTTGGGCACGCACGCACATGCACCTGGCGTGAGTTTAAGCCACCAGGTCCGGGACTCGAACCACGGTCGACTACGTGGGAGTCCAGCAACATAGCCATTATGCTAACTGCTGGTCCCAGAGTCTGCATATTTTTAAAGAATTATTTGTTTATTTATTTAATTCCATTTGTTATTATTTTAATTTGACCAGAGATAGAGGGAATGAGAAAGTGATAAAGCAAGCCACCAGGTCCAGGACTCGAACTGCAATCAGCCATGTGGGAGTCCAGAGCCTGTAACCACCACACCACCTGCCGGCCCCCAGAGTCTGCATTTTTAACAAACTCTCCAGTTGATTCTCGTATGTACTAAAGTGACAGCTGTTGGCTAGAGAACTCTTCCTTCAAAGTACGGGCATTTCTGTTACATCTGTGTATGCGTTTCTGAAAACCTCATGTCCTATGAAATCGTGCAATAAAAATAACAGGAGCTGGGGGAAAGTGTTGTAACAGATTACTAAAAAGTTACCTAAGTGTGGAACCAGAGTACTGACAAAAATAGTCCCCACAGTACTCAGAACAAGGACAGTGAAAAGACGAGCACTGTAACCCAGCGTTGGTGTCTGTACACGTTACGCTCAGTCTTGGGCTTCTCATTTCCTCCCAGAGAGTCACCTCTTCCAGGGCATTTTCTTCCTCGGCAAAGCTCCGGGAGAGGGCTTTGTCTTTTAATACAGAAGGAAATGTTTTCCTGGCATCTTCATCAGCACTCTGAACTTACCCAGAGAGCTAACCTTAGGGGGAATTATAGATACTTTGGAATCATTAAATCAGTCAAAGAGAGGGCCATCTATAGATTTTCAGCCTTTCCCCCTAAGATTTTCATATATTGCTAAGGCTTTTTAAATCGTGAGAACATTTGCTTGATTGCTTTATGTTGACCTGGTTGGAAAAGTTCTAAGAACCATCTTCTTTTTCCACAAAGATTGACATCATACCCTGATTTCTCAGTCACTAATGAACTTCACACACACACACACACACACACACACACACACACAATTTATCCGTTTCCGAACTCCTTTTTTTTTTGGAGAGATTTTCACTGTAGGGCGCGTGCGCTCGCCAGACAGACAGAGAGAGACATAGAGACAGAAAGCGAGAAATCACCCCCCAGGGGGGATGGCCACGCCGCAATCC